AATCACACGCCAGCGTGTAATCTCACTTTGAGGTGGAATCATTTGACTTCAAACACTTTCAATTTAGTTGTAAATAAGGAGATTCTTGTTGTGACGTTAGCAGAATTCATCTGCAATCATCTCACGCTGACAATGAAAAGGCATCCTGGCTGAACCAATAAATATATGAGCCTGAGCGCATTAAGTGACACAAAAGGTGACAAATTAAAGGGGGGGGGGGGGCAGTAAAGTGGATTTGTGAGGTATTGAGCCAAGTCTTTGGAAATCTAGGGAATGAGTGAAGAAGTGCTGTAAATATTTTCTAATTAGTATTTTAATCAAGCCTCTGCCCAGAATGATCCACAGGGGTTCAGTTAGAGTTTAGAGTGCGTTAACAACTCTGTGATTTTCATTTTATCAAACCATCAAATGACAACTCAATTCACACCTCCATTAATTGCACTCCTTCCTTGTAAGCAGGGGGGTGTTTACAACTTTAGCATTTTGCATTTATGCACTCATGAATACATCAACGTAGGCACCACCTCCCTGCAACTCTGCAGGATTTAGCAGTTATAAAAAAAACAAATAAATGAAAAGATGGATGTTTGAATGGACTAATTTCCATTATTAACGTGTTCATTTGTTTTTTTTGCTGACAGCTAAATAAAAATCCCTCATCATGTTTAACTGGATTTATTGACTGAATCGGCACAGCTCTGCTGCTGCAGCAAAATATGAGACTTCTCACCGTCACTGTGTGAAAATAGGCCATGTTTTGCAGGTGATGGATGGATAGTTAGTGCTGTGGTGGATTTTAATTGACACTGTTACATTTTATTTATCTTTGGTTTAGCTGATTCCACTGCATCTTGCAGCAAAAGGTGAAACTTCTCCAATTCCTGGATGCTAACTGCTTAAATACCATGCAGAGCACCTGTGCCTCTGCAGGACACAAGTTTCCTTTTTATTGATTTTTACTTTAGTTTGTTAACCATATAGGAATGCCTAAAGTCCATTCAATAAGTAAAGATGTGTTTTTTTTATTTAAGTAAAGCATTTGTTTGTTCACATCAGCACTTGTAAAATCACTGACATCTGTTTCAATAAGCCTGAGAGCTTTACTGTATATACAGTTTTGTATTTAAGTACAAGCTTTTTGTTTGTTCAGACTAGCATTCATCTTCTGTGTTTGACTAGTTTAGGCAATGGAAAGAGTAACAACAAAGTTTATTAAAACAGCTGAACAGTGATGTTAAAACCACATTCGCTTCTTAAAAAGGGTTAATTAGTAGAAACTTTTCTCTCTCAGAGCTTAATGCAGCAGTTTGTTTTGAGTGGGAAGCCTAATATGCATTTGGATTTAATCTCCAAAGTCATTCGTAATATCCTGGATAAAGCTAGTGACTTAGAATGTTAAACAATTAAATAATCAGGACATCTGGCAACAAATATCTGATTATGGGAAGTTCAAGGCTCAGTCAGGCTGCAATGCAATGATAAAAAGAAACCAGTGCAAATGTATTCGCAACAAGACAGTTTTGTCCACAAAATACATAAACACTCTAAGAATATAATTTTGGGTGTTTATTAAATTTCATGAGCATTTTACCTCAAATTCAAAGCTTTTAATTTGTTAATTTTAACAGTTAAAATAAAGTTTTTGTGGTATTAAAGCAGCAGGAACTATTGAAGCGGCTAAATATTGCAACTGAAATCCAACTTCACCCTTACTTAAAACATGATTTTACTTTTACGGAACAAAGCCTGTCCGACGGGGCTTTCTGTATTTGTACATTAGTCTTAAGGCTAAGTTAAACAAATCCAACATTTCATTTCTTAAAGCAAATCACCAGTGAACTAGTATTAACTTCCTTTTTTTTATTGCACTCTTCGTGTTATTACGTTTGCACCCTCTGTTTACAGCTTTCTTTAACTATAAATCCATCCCCGTGGACTTTCACAGACAGCGGAACTCGTTATTGATTTATTTTCTGAGAACGGGCAGACACGCCACAGCAGTCGTAGTCATCTACTGGGCATAAATGTGTTTGCTTTGTCGAGGGAGCAGTAAAAAAATAAAATAAAATAACGACGCGATGTGAGAAAACTATGGCAGTGGGAGTGAGTGAAAGGCAATGACTGATATGGATTCAGATGGGGGGGGGGGGGGGGGTCTGGGTAAACACAGGGCACAGCTCCGAATAAAGCAGAATAAACTTGAAGCAAAGTTTGCAATGGAGGGCAGCAGACTTTATGCAAATACTGGTATCTGTAGCAGGAATGAGAGCTGTTGGTTGAAGCAACCTTTATGGTTACAGTGAACAGATCCAAACGTGCAGCCACCCAGAAAGTACTGTACATGAAGAACAATTTACTTCCAATTCACTTCTTCATTTTCTTCCCAATGAATGACCCTCAAACAATAATCCACTTGGACTCTTAATTTGTGTGGGGACTGCTGTTTGCACAACATGAACAATATCCTAAAGTAAACACAGGGTATTATTAACAGCCCTGAAGTGATCACCTTATTGCTACCAATAAGAAGCTGCCCCAGCTAAGGCTACAACAACTAGTAAAGGTCAGGCAACGATAAATGTCATTTTAAGATGCATGATTTATTAGCTATAAAAGCCTGAATTGCATCCACGAGGACCAATTTCCCCAAGTAAAAGAAATAGGTGACAAATAAAAATGAACTTGCATGGTTTTTTCGGTTGTATTTTTTGCATTACRTGTCAGGAAAACAATGATCCAACTGTTTTGGATGCATCGTATTAAGATTAACAGCCGTGTGAAATTTATTGCCGTTCTGCAGAAAACAAAAAATCCGTCTCCGTCTTCCCAGCACCGAGTCTCTGAAGCAAAGCAGGCGCCGTGAATGTGGGACAACAACAGTAGCTGCCCAGAAAGTGGAGACAAAGACATAAAGGCAAGGCACTCACCTCATAAGGCTTTACTGTAATCACACCCTCCGGCAGCACGTCTGCTTAGAGGAGGAACAGCAGGAGACGGGAAAGGCAGCGCAGGGCTGCATAAACACAGCTGTTTATGGACATGTTAATTGAGCGGACGATGATTGACAGCCTTCCATCCGAAGCTGAAAACGCCTCTCCGTTTCAGTTCTGCAGACAAAGTTTGAAACCGAGAGCCTCTYCAGCTGAGGCATTTAAAGGCCAACTACTGGGAGTTTTGTCYYCTTGTTTTAATAMTTGAGCTTGAGTTTCAGCCCATGTGTCATCTAAAGATAGACGCTGAGCTGYGCTGCGTTGTGTTCTGCATGGCTGTGAAAGTGGATTAAACAGGCTTAAACATCAAGACGAGCTCTAATGAAACCCAATGGGGGAGTTAGCCTGTCTGTTTGGCCAGCTGACTCCAGTAAAATACCCATCACTGTCTCCTATTGCCCACTCTAAATGCAGCCTGCTAGTTCCAGTAAGCACACAGGCCGATGATTGTATTGTTACACTGATGCTTCGGTCTGGATCTTGCATTACCTCCAGTAACACCTATTTTAAATTGTTGCAGTTGCAATTTTAATTCAGTTAAGAAGTGTCAGTGTCCGGATTTGCCTGTTGCACTTTTTTTAATCGGAATGCTAAAAAAAATTATTTGGAGAAGAGGCAGGATGGAAAAGTTTAGCAATTTTAACGCTTTGCTCTAACAATAAGCTATGAAAACATAATTTGTATTTAATTATTTAACAATAGGTGTAAGGAGATGCACAACTCTGCTAAAGCAGCACCCACACAAAACACAGCAGAAGGTGAAAAGCAAAAACATTTTCAACCCGCTTGGAGCCATTCAGACCTCAGTGCTGTCGGTGTCCTGTCCTCCACACACAGTCCATTTCTAAAAGTCATAACTATGATCAATAAGGCAGCAGCATCATCCAAACTAAAACTATCCATCAAATCGAAGAAAGCCTAAAAAGTATTATTGGCTTGGGCCCCAACAATTCATCACTCCACGCTGAATTGCTGCTCACCTYTCTTTCTCATCTTCCTTCCACGAGTCTCTTTTCTACAGCTACATTTCTCCAAACAGGAGGCAGAGCAAAAGTCTTAATCATCTAAACACGTTCCAGCTTCACCTCACCAGACTTCACCATGATACCGAGCTGGGTGTTCCTGTTCTGCAGTGTGGATTCTGTGGACATTCTGATGCAAATAACACACTGGTCGTGTTGATTTATGCAACACATTCAAACATAAAACTAAAATATTGGTTCACAATCACGGTGATACTTTGTGGTTTATAMACAACAACTGAAATGCCAAGCTCAGCCTGTGGCGTGCGTGATGATGAATAGCTGCAGCCCAGAGGAAAAATATTTGTGCCATGGCACAAATGCCATTCCCTCTCTGCTCTGTCGTCGTGCAGCACAATGTCAAAGTACCCCCTAGTCACATTCCTTTGCATTGCCATCCAGAGCTTTCATAAATAAGCATTCGATTCATGAAAACTTCCCACTTCCCATTTAGGGACGGAATTGTTTTTCTTCTTTTTTGTAGTCTTTTACGCAAAGACGCTATTTATCCGTGGCACAAAATGAGGATGTAAGGGAGAATCTTATGGTCAGTTTTGGTAAATAATAATAATAATAACTTTAATAAATTCAACTAATGCAAATAATATGTTTGGTGTCGTTGTTGTTTTCTATTAACTTTATGACAGACACAATACAGACTTGGAGAGGCAGCAGATCCGCTGCGTAAAGATGAGAAGAGAGCGACAGCAGCAGCACTTGTTTGCCAATCTCGCATTTAGTAAATGAAACAATCAAAATCAAATTTAATAACACTAAGAGTGAACTAGATTTCTCACAAATCATAGAGCACAATCGCTTTGGAGACACGAGCACTATTAGATTTTTCTACAACTTCTAAAAAAGCGCAGCTGTCCGATTAAATAAAAGCTGCTTTAACCCGATTCTCAGACCAGATGACCAAGCTGATTGCTTCAAATGGATATTTAAAATGCAAAATAAAAACTTTTAGGTTTTGGTTTATTCTTACCTCATAGCAGTCAGTGATGTGCGTGGTCACACTGAGCTCAATCAGATTTCTTTTGGATGGGAAACGACACAATCCAGTCCAACTTCTCCCGGCTTCTCTCCATGTTCGGCTCAACAGCTGCACGGCAGTCCAATCCAGTCACATCTGAAGCGCTAACGGGACTCAACTAACAAGGCTTTGGAAGCCGCTACGGTGACCGAGCCGCGGGTTGGGCGGGGGGGATGTGAGGAGCACCGCGGGATCTCCAAGGACGCACGGAGAGTCACTGCGTCAGGATTGGTCAGTGGAGCTGTGACGCACCGGCAGGTGGCACACCCGTCAAATAAAAAGCCCACATTCATTCATGGGTTAAAGCTGTGGGGATGGAAAGAAGCTCAGAAAGCTAAGCGACAGACTGAACCACAACCTTAACAATGTTTGTTATCAAGTTTAAAAGGTTTTATTTTATATGGATCTATGGTTGAATGTGTTTTTATAACTGCATTTTTTATCAGTTTTTAAATTCTAAGAAAAGTGGATGGATGGCTAGATGTTGCACAGAAAATTCAGCCAATATAGGTGTAAATACTGTGATTAAAAAGTGGATTTATAGACACACTCATATAAATAGATGGTCCAAAACTTTTATAAATGTGTTAAATAAGAGCTGAAAAATCATGTTTATTTCAATAAATGCGAGGTGAAAGCGGTGGAAGCTGAGGGTGTGATGACAGATCCAAAGCAACGTGTAATTTAGGTTTAATTTAATATTTAAAAAAAAAACACAAATCAGGAGAAAGTGGCGATCCTTGGAGGAATGTGGAAGCCATTTATGGCTGGCTGCAGGACTTGTGGAACGAAACCTCAGAGCTTCGTGTTCAGAGTCAATGCAGACCCTCCGACCACACTTCCTGTTCCAAATGCATGGTGAAAACACAGAACACGGTGGGAGACATGAATAGGACTTTCACGAACAGCTGGAGCGCTCCCATCATCCTTATTGTAGGCTGGCTGACACTCTGAGCGTGTTCTCTCCCTTCAGCGTTTGTTTGCATCCAGTGAAAGAAGCACTCCCATCCGTGGATGCTGGTGGGCACAGCGAGTCTGTGGGGGCTTACAACAAATTATGCATGGTAATAGTGAGGAGCAATGATAGCTGGGTACATGTTGAGGGGTTCATGTTGAGTGTGCTGTCGTGGTCACGTTCATTTTGGTTGCACATATTCAAAGAATATTGCATATTTTATGGAAATATGAGTTAATAGAACCTCCGTTTTAATTCTAGAGTTAACTTCACGCAAGCAGAGAGAGAAAACAAGAATGGCAAAATATAAAGTATGGTAAATTTTCCTCATTTTCATGATCTTCTACATGAAAACTTTTATTTAGAAGCTTCAAATGCATATATATATATATATATATATAAACAAGCTCTAATATTTTGCACTTCCTATAAGGATCCTGATTTGCAGGCTTCACCATCCTGCTATTTCACACTGTCTGATTCTTCAGTAACTGCATGAACACACAGATAACAGAGTAACTGCTGTCCACTGATATACAGAAACTGCTACATCGTGACCTCTTCTAGCCAAACCCCCTTTTAAAAAGTAGAAACAAAAATAAACTTGATTACACAACATCAAACTAAAATAAATTTTACTTTTTAATTTGATTTTTTTTTTWAACTTTTGATTCAGAAAGAGATCCCACCCAGGCCACTTGAGCTTCAGATGGTTTACCCGAAAGACAAGTTTTTCCTGAAAACATGCTTGAGTTATTTTATTTTTTTTATTTCCTTCCCATATTCAATTCAGTAGAAAGCAGAAACAAGCATATCCCAGAGACAGAGCCAGAGGAGCTCAGTGCTGCAGGGC